TTTTATTTATGACCATAAATAGTTTTTTTTCTTATTAATTTAATTTGAATAATGTGCAGTTACAACATCTGGTGATGAATTGCATTTTATGCTATTTTTAACGGTGAAGCCAAAGGTTGACCTTATCATAATTGACATCACTTTGAAAATTTTTAATGACTTCGAGGGATTAAAGCATGTTAAAGATAACATTGATGTTCCTGTTATCAGTAAGTATCTTGTTGTTTATCAACTTTTTAATCTTTTTTGTCATAACTATTTAAATTTTTTAACCTTTTACCATATCATATGCAGTGGTGTCCCACAGTTATGATTGGTTGGATCAGTGCAAGCCGTATGACTCGGGTGCAAATCACTATTGGCACAAACCTATTTATGGGTGTAAACTAAAAACCATGATGACTTTCATAGTTTCTCGTGTATCAACAATGGAGAAAGCCAAATCCGTAAAGAAACGATTAACATGGACAACAGAAATGGATAATGCATTTCTGGAAGCCATTAACCTAGTAGGAATAGCAAGTATGTATAATAGTTTATACTTCATCAATATCAGTCCATTTTTTGAGTGATGTGACGGTCTTATTTTGTTTTCTTTTAGATGCTAAGCCAAAAAGATACACGAAGCAATGAACATGCCTAATATAGAGATTAGGCATGTAAAAAATCACTTACAGGTTAGGTTTATGTGTATTTAATTTTTTTTAATGGCTGAGTTATTATTAACCAAATTGAACATTTAGTTAACAAACTTATAAAAAAATAGAAAAAGCTACAGGAGCAACAGGAACCACAGCAGGAACAGGAGCAGCATTAAAGGTGTTGGTTATTTGTTAGTAGTTAGTTGGGCGAAATAAGGGATAATATAAATAGAAGTTAGTTTGTAAAGGGAGGGGATTCTTTTTGTATCTTTGAACTTGTACCGAAACATTGTCCAGTGAAGGGAATGTTCATGCTTCCTTGAGCGAGGTAGTTGTACATTGAATTCTTTTACTGATTCGATAATACAAGTATTCTCCATTGTTTTCTGTTGGTTTTCGAGTGCTATTTTGGGTTGACTGACTTCTTGATAAAAGAAGTCTAACAAAATATTATACGGGGTTTTATAATGTGATTTCATTTGCTATGTTTCTGGTCAGGAAATCTTGTAGGAAGATCTTTGGTTGAGGTATAATTGGAAAATAATATGTAGCTAGGTAGTCAATCTATGAATTTTGTGTATTTGCATATATGTTGTTTTTGTTTTCTGTATTCAATAATTTTCATTAGTATTCATATTGAAATGACCAGTGCAGCTATCAACACCCAATTTCGTCCGGGTGACTAAATAATATAGTTTTGATGAAATTTATTTTATGTTATTTTAATTCTATTTTATGATTATTTTACTTTGTTATTTTGAGTTATTGTATTTGAGTCTATTTTAGTATTTCACTTATTTTATTTTAATCTTATTTCGGTTATTTATTTTTTTATTTTTATTTATTTAGAGTTATTTCATTATGTTTTATTTTAGTCTTTTTTTTACGTCAATTTATTTTGTTTTTGTCTTCTTTTACTTTAATTTATTTGCCAATGTTAAAACTAGACAAAAAGAAACAAAAAAAAAGAGGCAAAGGTCAACTTTCTCGGTTCCATGCTATCTCTCATTCTTGTGCAAATCTTCTGCTGCGCCATGCATGCATCTATACTGCCTTTAGCTAGCTTACCTTAAGAGGAAACACAGCAGAGCAGAGTAGGGGCGGTTGCAGGAAGCAACCATGGAACATGCCACGCTTTTGACTTTGGTTTGATCTGACCCGTGAATAAGGCTAGGGGATCATGGAACTCATCTGGGGGGACTTCCATATCGTGTCTCACACCTCATGACCAGGGGAACCCAAAAAAAGAGGAAGCATCTTGAAGCTGCAAAGTTTCAACAAGATTCATCTCCCACACCTGATGACCACAGCCAGAGGCAAACTCGTAGACTCTTTGGACCTCCAATACCATTCATCATTCATCAGCTAACTTTACCTACAACAAAGAAAGAGTACAGGCCATGTTCAGAAAGGGGGATAAGTAAGGAGCATTGACCGACAACTACAAGCCATAGCACAAGTGCGAAATCAGTCCATAGAGGTAAGCCTTACTACTCCAACTAGTATGTGTTTCAGTTTAAGAGTTAGCATTTTTGTGTCTGCTTGCTAGTCCCAATTGGTCTTGTACATGTGAATCGGCATTTCTTCCCTGCTACTGTCATCCTCCCCAGCCATCACTGATCTTAATCTCTCTGCTCTTGAAACCCATCCCATTCTGAATTTTCCAAATAAAATCTGATTTTGGGCCTTGAATTGCCATTTGGACCAATAAAACTTATATTCTCAGCTGCACAAATAAATATTAGAACATCCAAGAATAATTTATGCGCTAAAACTCACTTTTTACGTCTCTTTATTTCCCAAACCCAACAATTCCATTCATCACAAATTCACTTAAAATCAACCATTTAAGCACAATTATCCCATCAAAAATTTGAATTTTAAAGCATAAATGTGGGCATAAATATGCACTCATCAACCATTTAAAATTATCCTTCTTTAATAAGTTTGTTAAAGGATTGACAATGGTTGCATATCCTTTAATAAACCTTCTATAATAATCGGTGAGACCTAAGAACCCTCTTAGTTGTTTGATAGTTTTTGGCACAGGCCACTGCAACACAGCTTGAACCTTGTTGGCTTACATTTGTACTCCACTGCTAGAAACAATATGTCCCAAATAGTCTATTTGTTCGAGCCCAAATGAACACTTTGACATATTTGCATACAATGCATGATCCTCAAGAATCTGCAAGACCTGTTGTAAATGATGCAAATGAGCTGACCATGATGGACTATAGACCAGGATATCATTAAAGAACACCAAAACTAACTTCCTCAATAGCCCATTGGAATATATCATTCATTAGGTTCTGAAATGTGGCAGGAGCGTTGGTTAACCCGAATGGCATAACTAACCACTCATAATGGCCATGATGCGTTCTAAAGGCTATTTTGTATCTGTCTTCTTCATTCACCAGGATTTGATGATAACCAACCCTCAAATCAAGCTTAGAAAAATACTTAGCTCCAAACAATTCATCCAAAAGCTCTTTTATAGTGGGGATGTGAAAGCTATCCTTCACTGTGATGGCATTCAAGGCCTTATAATCAGTGCAAAATCGCCATGTCCCATCTTTTTTCTAGACCAAAATTATTGGAGAAGAAAAAGGACTTGAACTTGGAGCAATTATCCCGTCATCAAGCATCTCTTTCACCATGATCTCTATTTGTTGTTTATTACTGTGCGGGTATTTATAGGGTTTGACTTTCACTGCATCACTACCATGTAGCAAGGGAATTTTATGATCCTGAGATCTTGGAGGAGGGAGTCCAACAGGTTTAGCAAATATTCCTCTATAAGTATATAGTAAGAGTGCTAACTCTAGATCCATATCCTGAAGACCGTTGGCCCAGTGGTCTTAGACAGTAAAAGTGGAGCATAGTTGCAGAGTAAATATCTCAGCAATACTCTGAGTGTGGCTTAATCTCTTCAACTAATTGAATTGTGTAAAACCAATAGGTTTTTGTTTGTCACCAACTAATGTCACCAGCTTTTTATCTTTGTAATATTTAATAGTCAATGAGCTATAATCAGCAATGTGTGGTCCCAAGGTAGCTAGCCAGGATGCCCCTAAAACCAAATCAGCACCAGAAACTGAAAGTAAATAAACAGGTAGGCTGAGAAGCTGACCCTGCACCTGTAATTGCAGCTCGGAAATCTTGCCCTCAGTTGACAAGGTGTGTCCATTACCAACTAATACTTGAAGACCTAAAGTAGGTTGCACCGGTAACTTAAGAAACTTGGCCAGTTTAGGTTGCAAGAAATTATCATTGTTGCCACTGTCCAGCAGTATCTGAACCTCCTTTCCTACAATCGTTCCAGTGAACCTCATGGTACCCGCACCAGCTGATCCTTTTAATGCATTAAAGGATAAATGGTGTGTCAATTCTTCTGCCAAGTTAACCACATCCTCCTCAATTTCCTGTTCTTCCTTCTCATCCTTATCTAGTTACATAATCAAGTACTGTCTATTTGGACAGCGATGCGTGGTAGAGAATTTTTCATCACAAGTGAAGCATAATCCTCTTTCTCTTCGAGATTGCATTTCACTAGGGGACATTTTCTTAATGGTATTGTTTCTAAATGGTGCAACATTGGGTTTGGTGTTAGGCGTGGCCAAAATGGGTTGTTGAACACGGTTAGTGTGTGATTGAGTGGAGGTGTTGGTATGAATTTGTCTATTATAACTCACATACTGAGATTTGTTTTTAACAGTATATTTTTCTTCGAATAAGCGAGCTAAGCAAATGGCTTTTAATATAGAACCAGGTGCTTATGCAATAACCTCACATTTAACGTTAGGTTTAAAACCACTGACAAAACAGTCCAATAGAGCTTCTGCGCTAACGCCATAAATCCAATTAGCAAGGTTAGTAAATTCAACATAATAATCATTTACGGAGTCTGTTTGTGTGAGTTTAAAAAGTGTTGATCTAGGTGAATCGAATGGAGAAGGACCGAATTCAAGTTCGAATGACCTGACCAACATGTTCCAAGAAATAATTGGACTGGTTCTCTGCATCATTTGGTACCATGGCACTACATTCTTCTCGAAGTGGACTGTTGCAATCACAATGTGTTGTTCATCAAGTGTATTATAATACTCAAAGAATTGCATCGCACGGAAAATCCATTGAAGGACCTCAGATCCATCAAATTTGGGGAAATCCAGCTTCACGTTCCTCACTTGCAAAGGATGTGTAAAACCTTTTGAGTTCATGCCCCCACCTTGAAGATTTGCTTTGAAATCTTCAATTTCATTTCTCAGCTCTGTCATCTCACGTGCGTGGTCACTATCGCGTTTCTCAAGGATTTCTAGGATTTTGGAAAGCTCAGGTGAAGGCGTGCTCGTCGTCATGGTGGAGGTAATGAAAGCACCAAATGGAACAGTGAGGAATTTTAACAGTAATAGCAGAATGGAAAAAGCACAATTGATAAGTCGTGAAATAAGAACCAAGTCTGTCTCAGATTGCACTTCCTATAAGTTCAAATGAGATCATAGGGAATCAATCCAATTACAGGAAGCAAAAAGAAAATGCAGAAAAGGAAGACAAAACCAGTCCAGTAGCTCAGCAATGAAAAAGAAAATTACAACCAAGAGAAAGAAGAGTAATTCCCAATCATTGCCTACCTCTCTCCTATCCCAACCCTCTGCTATATAACTAATTTCATTCCCAAAGATACCCTCTCAAACGTGCATTTGGTTGCCTCACACGTTTCCCCTTTCCTTCCACGTCAGCTCCCTGAGGTGATGCCACCCATCCTTGGTTGTTTCTGTTGGCCTTAGCATTTCCTTAAGCTTCTAGACCCTCCTCATCACGTGCTGTTGTTACATTAAATTTTGTGATGAGGTTGATCTAGTGGCTAAGGTAAAATGATTTACTATTCACATTTGGATCCATAATTGGAAATGATTTTATTTCGTTTATCTAAATTCTTCCAATTGGTTGTGAGCACAGTCTATAGGACTTGTGAATTGCATTATCAGAAGACCAACTAACGGGAAATTAATCGGGTATAACACAGATTATGTTGGTGCTATTTCTGTAATTGAGGATGGGTTACGAGGTAGTTGTCATCTTTAATGGCTAGCCAATGTTCAATCATTGTTCTTGGTAACTGTTATTCTCAAGATGTTGTGTGTGTGCGCTTCAATTACTTCTTGGCCAGGTAAACATAATGGTAGTAGCACAACTGTTTCTCCATTAGCCGATAAGTTGTTTGTTGTAATTGGGGTCGGTAGTGCTGGAAAAGCAGTTCCTTATGGTGCAAAAGAGAAAGGAGCAAGGGTTGTGATTGCGAATCGTACCTACGGTAAACTTCATGATTTGCTTTTTTCTTTCTTAAAGTTAAAGTGTGTTAAACTTTCAAATTTACTTCTCGGATGTTTCTGACAAAACATCCTATGTAGGAGATAACTGATAATGTGCTCAATTCTTAATATTGATCTTTTGGATGATAAATGTCTTTGGGTTCAGAAGAGAACAATAATTTTAGTAAACAGTTATATGGTGTTCAAGTTTTGGGTACAAAATCAGTGGTTTGAAGCATCTCAGTTGTGTTTCTTTTGAGTTATATCTATCCTAATATCTTGATAACGAGTTTAAGAAAACTTGGATTTAGTTAATGGTAATGTCAAACCTGTTTCAGTTTTCCTCTTTTGTTTACGTTGTATACATTATTGTGCTTTTTCCTTTCAACGTTCCTTTCTTTAAAAAGTATTTTCTGTGGTCCCAAATTTTCATTTTACGTGTGGATAACCTTCCAACATCAGTACTTACGAAACAACATTGTTTATGGTGTGATGTTGCTTGGTCCTCTAACAAGAATGTGTAGCTTTTTTAGCAGAAACAATCACAACATTGTTTACATTTGGATAACCTTCCAACATTAGTACTTACATTCAATGTGTAGCTTTTTTAGCAGAAACAATCACAACTACTATTTCTTGTCAATTTTAAACATATTTAAGGACATATTACATATGTACTGCATTATTTATATACAGATCGAGCCAGAGAACTTGTTGATGCAATTGGAGGAGATGCTTTATCCCTTTCTTATTTGGATAATTTCCATTCGGAGGATGGTATGATTCTTGCAAACACAACATCAATTGGAATGATACCAAAAGTTGACGAGACGCCTATTTCTAAGGTTTGCTCCTTTAATGTAGATGTGCCATACCAATTAGGACCTTGAAATATTGGTGGTGTAAGTTTTCAATTTGATATGTTATTGTCAATCATATATTCTTCTATTTCCTGATGAAGTTGGTTTTCTATTAAGATGAAATTTGTTTATTGGTGTCTGAAAATGCTTACTTCATTTCTAGATCTCACAAAAACTATGACCAATATGATAACTTCCCTTTTGTTTTTTATGCAGCATGCTTTGAAACCTTACTCCCTTGTTTTTGATTTTGTGTACACACCCAAGATGACTAGACTGTTGAAAGAAGCAAAAAAAGCAGGAGTCACCATTGTGAAAGGATTTGAGATGTTTTTAGGGCAAGCAGATGGTCAGTTTGAGAATTTCACTGGATTGCCTGGTAAGTTGAATGTAAAAATTTAATTGAAGAGAGTTTCATGTATTAATTTATCTGATTGATTTTGAAATCTTGTATTTCTTTGATTGCATTTTGAATTTGCACCACCAAAGAAGCTCTTCAGAAAAATTATGAAAGATTATTAATGAGGTTTGCAAGTCATTATCCTTATCCAATTGAATTTGAAATCTTGTATTTATTTGATTGTATATAAGAGTTTTAGAAGAACAATAATTGAATTGAATATCCTTCATTACAAATGTGCTTAAATTCAAACAACCATTTATATTTTTATTTGTTAAAAAGTGGATTTTAAGCTTAACTCACCCCACACCCTCATGTCGAGTTATATACATCTTGAGCGTGAGACTAGACATTAATGGATGATCTAATAGCGAGTGGACTTTAAGTCTAACTCAACCTCACAAAATCGGCTTGTAAATAATACAATCTCTAAGTCAAGGTTAAGTTGATTCAGCAACAACTTCATTTGTTGAATGGTAGTTTATATTTCAAGATAAGATATAAGAGTTTTAGAAGAACAATAATTGATTTGAATATCCTTCATTTTAAATGTGCCCAAATTCAAACAATCATTTATACTTTTATTTATAATTTTTTTTTGTTAAAAAGTAGACTTTAAGTTTGACTCAGCCCATCCCTCGTGCTGCATACATCTCGAGCGTGAGACTAAACATTAATGAATGATCCGATACCGAGTGGACTTTAAGTCAAACTCAATCCCACAAAATCGACTTGTAAGGTGAGGTTTATATCCACTTATATACTCTAAAATTGGTCTTATCCCTACTTGATTAGAGAGTTCCAACATTTTTAACAATAATACTTTATACTTACAACAAATATTCAAACAAGATATGAAAACTGCTAAAAGTAACAAATTTTATAATAAACTAAAATAAATAAAGTTTAAAATTCTAACTAGTTTTATAAGTCAAATTAAACCTAATCTGTACACAAATATGTTGAATGCATAATATGTGTAAACCACCCTAATAATAGTCACATGAACAGCATGTGTTGGCAAGGATGTGGCAAGCCAGATCCCTAAAAAACTGAAACAAATCCTCTATATAATACTGAGCATTCATTATTGCTAATGTCAGAAATAGGAGAATAACTATACATCTACTTTTAACTCATGATAAAATAGGTAAAAATAACAGAAAAATGTCAATTTGAGATATAAATAATTTATCACTGAAATCATTATTGTAACAAAATCTTATTGTTAAGATCTTCACAAGTTGACAATTCTTAAAAGAGATTTTGAGTGTAATCAAATCTTGTGATATGGAGATATATTTTTTAAGAGATTTGGTTTGTCACAAGAGAATTAAACATTATAAATAGCCAAACACGTGACATTTTGGAATAAAAGTGTACGAAATGAAACGTTTGTTTAATATTACAAGTAATTGCACACATTTAGAGAACAATTATTCACAGCTATGAATTAAATACAAGCAATTTGATCCTATTATATAACCTGATTTGGACCTAGTGGGGCCAATATTTATGCTTTTTGTTTTCTACATACGTTTTTCTTTTCAAAATTATTTTGTCTCATTTTAAAGATAATTGTTTTAATTTTAGTTTCTTATTTTAAATGATTTTAATAGAATCTTATTATTTAAAAAATGAATTATTAAAATTTGTTTTGTCAAATTTTATTACAATGTTACGCGTATTTTTGTGTGTTTATGTTATTTTTGTTAATAAATCAATTTTAATAAATAATACATAACATGTCACATGTCATTACCAAAGTTACATGAACTTATTTTTTACCTTTAGGATAAAATTGATCTATTTTAATAAATGTACACTAGTGCAAAATTGGCTTTTAACGTCCCCTCAAAGATATC